TGTGTCTCTTTGTGGTTGTTTTGTGTCTCTTTGAGGTTGTTTTGTGTCTCTTTGTGGTTGTTCTGTGTCTCTTTGTGGCGGTTCTGTGTCTCTTTGTGGCTGTTCTGTGTCTCTTTGTGGCTGTTCTGTGTCTCTTTGTGGCTGTTCTGTGACTCTTTGTGGTTGACTTGCATCTTTTTATGGTTATTTCGTGTCTGTTTTCAGGTGCTGTGTGTCACTTTGTGGTTGTTCTGTGTTGTTTCTCATTGTTTTGTGTTTGTTTTTCATATGTTATGTATGTTACCATTGGTGAAGTAACTGCTGTTGTCAGATTAATGTGTTGTAGTAGAAAGAGCAGCAGTGGCATGTAGAGGAAACACAACCACACGTTTTTATTTCTTCATTACCTCCCAGCAGTGTTTGTGTCACGCTGCTGGTTGGAGATCCAGCTGCTTCTCTCTGCGGTTGCTGGTTGAAGTCCTTCAGACTCTGGTCCTGGTTTGATTCGGGAGCTCGTGTTTTTCAGCTCTCAGCCGACAGAAACTCTAAAACACATCGGCGCTAATCAGAGTGTCTCACTTCAAACAGCCTCTTACTGTAGTTGCATAGCAACGGAGAGTCGGCGCTGCCGGCTCGCTGAAGAAAAGCCTCTGAGTGCACATCATAGTGAAGCCGAATGAACTGAATGAAATGCCTGCACATTCTGAATCCAGGCTGTACATTTAATTTCCCAGCAGCCTTTTGGCTCTGACAGAGAATCACAGCAGGTAGTGATACAGTGAGCTGATGGCAGGTTCATGACCCAGAAGTTATTTGTCCCTCAACACATCAAAACCAGTCCAAGTGGAAGTGATGGATAAATGATGCGATGGCAGAAGGTTCACTGCATTAACTACAACAACAGCATTCATTTGTTTTTAGCCTCATCTGTCAAAATCCAGTTTGGGGAACTGAAGTGTTTTAGTTTTGTGTCATTGGTGTGATTTTTACTATTTTACTGAAGCAAGACCTCAGATATTGTTTTATTTATATTAAAGGAAACAACTTTTATTTGCTTTCAGGTGATTAAATGATAATAAATGTCTCGTTTCTGGGAAATAGTGACACTGAGTGCTGATGTCTTTCTGAAGTAAAAACTGTTTATTGACTCACAGAATGGAAGGATCACTGATTAGAGCAACAGCGTCTGTTACAACAGAGATTGGACAGCCAAGTACCAAGAGACACAAACCTGCTGAAGAGAATTCAAATGGCCATTAAATGACAAACAATTACCAGAAAGACACACATGACCACCGCAAAGGTACACAAAAAGACCACAGAGAGAGAAAAAATAACTGTACAGACACAAAATGGCCACAAAGAGACAGAAAACAACCACAAAAAGACATAAACCCTCACATAGACACAAAAACCAGTCAGAAAACTGCCACAAAGAGACACAATAAGAGATACACAACAACCACAGAGCCACAAAATGACCATGAAGAGTCAGGGAAGCACCACAAAGAGACACAAACTAGCTGCAAAGAGAGACAAAATGACCACGAAGAGACACTAATTGATCAAAAACGTACAAAGAGACACAACCTCATACCGACAACAAAGAGACACACAGTGACCACAAAGACACACAAAATTACTGGAGAGAAAGACAAAACGATCACAGAGACACAAAATTACTACAAGTCAGAAAACAGGCACAAAGAGACACAAAATGAACACAAAGACAGAAAACCGCTACTACGAGAAACAAAACTCCCACAGAGACGCGCAAAGTAATAACAGAGGCACAATAACAACCACAAGGAGACACAGAACAACCACAAAGATACACAAAATGACCACAAAGAGACAGAAAATAACCATAAAAATACATAAACCCACACATAGAGACACAAAAAAGGGTCATAAAACAGCCACAAAGAGACACACAACAACCACAGATCCACAAAAGACCACAAAGAGACACAAAATTATCACAGAGACACACAAAATCACTGCTAAGAGTCAGAAAACCACCACAAAGAGACACAATCCAGCTACAAAGAGATGTAACGACTCGTACAGGCAGCAAAGACGCACAAAATGACGACAGAGTGAGACACAATCATCACAGACACAAAATAAATATGAAACGTCAGAGGGGCACAAAACCACTGCAAAAATAAAAAAAAACAAAATCGCCACAAAAATGATCACAGACACACAAAACGTCAACGTTGGAAACAACCACACAGAGACACGACATGCCGACAACCTCCCCATTGGGTCTGGTGGTGTCAGAGCTCTTTGATCTGTTCTGTTTGGTGTTTTTTTTACTCATTTTGTGAATCAAAACTACACGACTCAACATTAGTGGATGCACCGTGTGTGTGTGTGTGTGTGTGTGTGTTAACGAGGACCGACACTCGTGTGCCGTTAACATCCACAGCCTGAGTTCCAACAGCAGCACAAACAGGTCTGCAGCTGTGACGGAGAGGATTTAGCCGAAACAAAGACGCGGCAGCGGCCTGAACTAAAGCGCTTTAGCTCGCCTAAGATGACATTTCAAAAACAATTCTGTCTTGTTGCGTTTCATTTGATTCCTTTTTGTCTTGCGGATATTTTATTTTTTATTTTTTTCCCAGGCAAGGTTAAAAAGACAAGAAGGAAAAACTGTGACACAATATGTAAATGAAGCCTGATCCCAGCATTAATGAAGATCACAAATGGAAACGACACGTGGCAAAAATTAACTAACTAATCAGTTATATTAAATTATACACACAGCCTGTTACAGTCTGTCACATGCAGACCACATAGGTCAATTCCACATGCTATAGATATTTAACCAGTTATATTTTTACTGCTTCTACAGGTTATGTCTCTTTAGGTCTGTTTTTTGATAGTTTTCTGCCCTACTTATATCTTTCTGTGTCTCTCTTCTGGGGTTTTGTGTCTTCGGGGCAGTTTTGCTTCTTTGTGTTCACTTTGTCTCATCTTTGTTCAGCATCTATTGTTGTTTCGCATCTCGTTCTGGTTGTTTTTTGTGTCTTTGGGACACTTTCGTCTCTTTGTGGTCATTTTAAGTCTCCACATATTGAACTATTTACATTTTTTACAGCCTCTACGAACTCTTTTACTCGACTCTGCACATCACCTGTAGAAAGACGTTTCACCTGAATGCTGAATGCAACTTTCACTTTTTCAAAAATGTGTAGTTTTTCCACACAATTAAATAGTTTTCTTTCAGCATTTTGCGGTTCTTTTGGACCATCTTAATTAACCTGTGTTGGATCATTTCCTAGTGTAGTTTGTTGTAGAATTCGTCGGCCTGTCCTGATTTAATGAAGTCAGAGCTTAATGCTGACAGAGAGCAATTTCATTTTGTGGAAATACTCTTTGTTATTTTAGAAAGTTCTTTTAAATGTTTATCACAACATGAATAAATCACACGATTGGTAAAAATAGATCATTTAGTCGTCTCCATCTTGGAAACATAAAATTATATTGTACAAAACACAGGTTACACTTTGGTACATGAAACAAGCAATTTCCTGTTAATTAACTTTAAATTGGAAACTGAACAAAAGCGCTGTAACTGCTGCATTAAACTGTGATATTTGATAGCTTCCTGCTGATAATCCTCACATGCACAGTAGGAACATGTACAGGCTGTGTTTGAAGCGACCGCCGTGATAAATTGAACCCAATAAAGGGGTTTTATTTCCAGCAGTTTGACCCCGGGGCTCGGGGCAGAGGTGAATCCGGGTGGTGAACGAGGCGGCGAGCTAATAAAGCCGATCCTCCACTTCACCTGCTGACCCCGCTCACCGGTTTAACGAGAACAGAAGAGTCGAGCAGCAGCTGATAATCTCCCTCAGGACGGAGCTTTCACACTGGCCGCCGCTCCGGTTAGCTTCATGCTAACATTAGCAGTCAGTCTGGATGTGACGGTTACGGATTCATATCACGGATGTTGACCCTTAAACAGGTTCTTTGATCTTGCAGACTGATTCCTGCATTAATTAAGGTCATCAAAGGAAACACCACATGACAAAAAGGAAGAAACATCAGTTATATTAAATTATACGGCAGCTTTTT